AAAGAGTGAAACCTTAGAAGACACTGAGGCATGACTTAGGTGGGTTTTATTTCTGATTCTAAAGCACTGAACTGGATGTGGGTACAGTGACTCAGAGTATTGTGATGGTCCAGCTGTCCACGGGGCATGCCTCTCTGGTGCGTACTCATGCATGGCCACGCCTGGGGAAACACTAAACTGGAGGGTCGTCTCCTCCAGTCACTTAACTAACACAATCTCACATTTAGTTACTTCGTCTGATATACTCTGCAGTGCATTTTTTTTTTTTCATTTTTTTTTTTTTTTTTGCGGTACGCGGGCCTCCCACTGTTGTGGCCCCTCCCGCCGTGGAGCACAGGCTCCAGAGCGCGCAGGCCCAGCGGCCATGGCTCACGGGCCCAGCCGCTCCGCGGCATGCAGGATCCTCCCAGACCGGGGCACGAACCCGCGACCCCTACATCAGCAGGCGGACTCCCAACCACTGCGCCACCAGGGAAGCCCTGCAGTGCATTTTCAATGATTCCCAAAGCACATGTGAAATGGCACACTGGGGCCAGTGAATAGCTGCTTAGTCTAGTTCTCTGCCTGTGAGAACAAGACCAAGGGGCATTTCCAGAAAGAGGGCAGTGACTGCTTTCTAATATTTTATTTTATCGAATTTATTTTTCTGGGAACCACGCAGTCACTGGGGCAAGAAGAAGCCTGCTTTATCTGACACGTTTACTTTACAGCAATACCTCCTTTGTCTTAGGGATGTTTCATATAAATCAGTGCAAGAAACACGGCATGAAAAGCATGCAGCACTGACCACTATGACCAATCACTGATATGCTCCTTTATTGCCAGAAAAGCCACTTCTGTTTTCTTCTGTTTTTTTATTATTTGTGATTCTGGAACTTCTCAGAAGAATCAGGAAGCAGCACAACAATTAACAGGCCCCAAGCCTGGTCATATAAATGTATAAACAAGCCCCCTGTGTAATATGTCATTTTGTATCTTGGCGTATTTCTTGTTGGCTTAAATGCCAAAATACTGTCACTCTACGTTATTGTTCTTAAATAACTTACTCGATTTCTCTTCTAAACAGATAGCTTGCCTAAGGATGCCCTTATAAACAGTTGCACCTCATTTCTAAACTACATCAGATCGGGTTTAACAAAGATTATGGGGCTAAAAAATATATTGTTTTGCTTGGTATGGGAGAGTCAAGATGAAATACTTACGTTTACTTGAAATTCTCTGGATATTATACGTCTTCCAGGAAGCCTTTCTGGACTCTTCGCTACCAGGATTAGGCCCTTCCTCTTTGTGCTACCCTGTCCTCACTTGTATTTATTTTATGGCCGTTTCCTCCTCTAGACTCTGAGATCCTTGTGGCAGGGATTGGTCTGCCAGCATCCAGCAAAATACCTGACATATAGTAGGTGCTTAAAAACGTGTTCAGTGGATGAATAAACACTCTAAGGTAATGAGCCTGTGACTTTCCAGTCTATCCACTTACACATTTTTTTTTTTTCCTGACAACGGTGGAAGCCACAATTTGGCGAATTTGATGAGTGATCATTAAATCATCGTCATGGACTATCTGATAATTTAGCTCATGGCCTACAAATACGACCATTTTCAAGGTTTGAATTGATGGGCTTAATTTTTCCTTGATATTATGAATAGCACTTACATTAACACCAGGAGCCCCTTTTACGCAAAATCTTCAAAGCGCCGCTGACACTGATCCCCCCCAAAGGGAAACAATCTGTGTATATAAACTTCAGTATCTGATTTTGAATTTCAGGGCAGGGGGGCGGGATGTCATTTTGTAGCCAGCACGGAAAGTCAGGAGTGTCGGGAAACGGCACGTGTTGCCATTGCCCCCGCGGAATAGTGTCAGACCAATCGGCGTGTGCGAGGCACTTTTATGGACGGTATAAATATTTTGAGCTGGAGGCATCGTTACCAGCTGCTATTTTCCTTCCTCAGGACCAGCTGTCCAGGAGCATCCCGGACCGGAGCCAGGCACATTCGGGACTTGGATCTGACCAAGGGCGGCAGCAGCCGGGCTGGTGCAGCGATGTCGGTGGTCGAAGAAAGCCGGCCCTTTGCTCAGCAGCTCTCTAACGTCTATTTCACCATCCTCTCACTGTTCTGTTTCAAGCTCTTTGTGAAAATCAGCCTCGCCATCCTCAGTCACTTCTACATAGTGAAAGGCAACCGCAAGGAGGCGGCCCGGATAGCGGCTGAATTTTACGGAGTAACCCAAGGACAAGGTATGTTCACGGCCTGCGCTCGTGTTTCGCGTTGACTTTATCTTGCGTGCACAGTCCAAGAAAACATCCCATGTTTCCCTCAGGGACTACTTCAGAGCGAATATTCTGCCAACTTCTCATTGCGGGAAATATTTAACTCTCTTCATGGCCTCAGAAAAAAGAAAATTACTTTTTCTGGGTTAATGAAATCAAGGCGTCATTGCAGAACAGCCTCACGGAAGCATAGTTTTAAATATATATCAATATTTTCCTATTCATAAATATTTTCTAACTTTTAACATTTCATGTGCCAAGCCATGCGTTCACAGGCTTCAGTTACTGATTGCACTTCACCTGTCCTTTAATATGCCTGAGATTTTATGATTTTTTAAATCAAGTCTTTAGTTATATGGAAAAATAATTGTTATAAGAGAAGATTTGAAGGTTTTATTGGTTTCTCACAATTTTTATTTGACCAAGGTTAACTTGGTCAAAGTAAAGCACAATGTGGTGAATATTAAGATTTATGGCATATGTTTTCCTGATGGAATTGTTGTTGCCTTTGCTCAATTTGTAAAAAACTGATTATATGAGGATAGGAACATGAATTAACAAATGTTAACATGTATGCAACCAAGTACATCCATCATGCTTCCTACAAGAAATTAAAGTGTGAGACTAAATGAGAAATGATCATTTTGACCCTCAACTTGAAAGGCTGTAAAACCATTTCCATTCTATTGCATTGATATTCTATATAATAAAAGCAATTCTTAGGATGGGCTTCAAGGTGACATTTTAATTTCTTAGAGCCTTTTGATTAATTTCTGGTTTGAAAATCATCAGGCAAGCATGCACATTTTACAGCCCTGCATACCCCTAAAGTAACTTTAATTTTCAGAATCAAAATACACTATCACATAATTAGAGAGTGTAATTTTTTTTTTAAAAAAAAGAATGCTTAGAGTAGAAAGCTTGCCTTCTTAAAATCTGTTTTTCTACATTTTTCAATGTGTGCAATAACTTATTTTAAAATCTAGGCGACTCTGTAGATACATGGAAAGTTGAATAAAGGTAGAAAATCTTTTTTGATGTATGAGATAGATAAGGAGAGTACATTTTTCCTGAGGAAGATTTTGTTCTTATGCAAAGTGAGGAACTTAATCTAAATGCCAGGATGAAACTCTCACAAGGAAGATGGGATCTAGAGAAATAGACAATATTTAATCCTTCACCCACCAGCTGTGCTTCAGACCAGGTATAAGTATTTAAATGTGGCATACACCATGTTGGTAAATGGAATATTTTGTTGTTTCAAAACCAGCAAACATAGGAGACTAGATTTTAAAACAAAATCCGTATTTTAATTTTATTTTTTTAAACCCGTAATTTTAGATATAAGACTAAATAGGCTATGCGATCATAAGGTGAGAAAGTTTACTGTCACGGGCAGCCCATAGCTTGTTACCTTATACTCAAATCTCGTCTACGTATTGTGAGAATTGCCGTGCATAAAAACTTCAGTATTGGCTAAAAATCCACCATTTTTGGTGGATTGACAAGGGTTTTAGAGGAAGCTTTGGAATCTCCTTTTGTACTTATTTACAAATATAAAGAAATACTTGTCCCCTCTTTAGCCTGATCTCAGTTTGCTCATGCTGGGAGGTCATGGGAATATGTGAAATGGCTTCCATGTTCCTGCCTACTTTTATGAGTCTGTGTTAAGATATATTGGAGCTCTAGGATTATATCCCAAAAAGGAGAGAAAGAAATCCACACTCACTAATAGAAAACACTTTTCCTGGGAATAAAAATGGGGAGCATAGAGTTTTCAAATGTTTGTTTTCTGTTATTTTTAATTTTGTATCTGTTTAACAAAATTCTCCCTTCCTGTAGCTTGCATTAGTCTATATACTAAACAATAAAATATATTATTATAATTTTTATTCAGTGTAAGCATAGTTAGTCTCCAATTTTATTTTAATATTAGGAGGACAGTCAGGAACCTTAGAAGCTCTTTCTTGGTCTACCTCTAAGAATTAACTTTTCCTTGCCTAGGAAATTATTACTTTCTCTATTTTAATATAGCTTTTTCTTTTATTTACTACTACTAAACTTATTTTTATTTTGTTTATGTTTTTATGATTTATCAGGATTAATTATCTTTGTTTAATCTAGCAATTTCCTCCTTCCTAGCAGAGATTATCACCTTCATTCCATTCTGAATTAGGTTTCTCATTCCTGCTTTCAAGACTTAGCCAGATCATTCCCCAACATTTCTGATGTGGAGCTGCCAAAATCCATGAAATATGAGATGATGTGTGTATTTTCACATCTTTCATAATCATGGAAGACCCTGTTGACAACTTTCTGGATGTCCTCCCCATGAGCTGTAGTGCTTTGGTATGAAATAAAAGAAACTCTGTCTTCCCAGACACGGTTGCAAATCAGCTCATTGTATTAGACAAATATGGGATGAGCTTTCTTAATGCACTTTCCAATCAGGCTTGAGACCAAGGTATGATTACACAACAAGAATACTGAAAAGCAACATGGTAACTAAAATCGCTTAAGATTGTTCCCTTCTTGATCCCTTTGCTATGCCTATAAACCTTAGAAATCTGCCTTGTCATCCCTTTATTAACTCTGCCATCGTATTGAAGGGACTCGTTAGGATTTTCTGTGTATCTATCTCCCTGTGTGGTTCTTGCTGTTAAGTGTTCTGGTGATAGTGTCCGCATATCAGAGGTCTAGTCTGTGTTTAAAGCTAACACTTTACTTTGGGACTGAGTGAGACTAACGAGTGGAACGGTGTCTCCAGCTGTAACATCAGACAGTACGGAGAGAAGGGGAAGATGCAGGAGAGAACACTCATCTTCTGATATCACTCCAAGGGCTTGGAAGAAGCCATGTGCCACTAATAACCCACGGACACTTGGAGAGCTCCCCTCCTCTGCTAAGGGTCATCCTTTCAAGTTCTATCTTAGGCTCTGAGGAAAGTTCAGTAGTTTTACCTACATGTGGACAAGGTCAGTTCTAAGCACCTGTTTACTGAGCACCCCTGGTATGGAGGCATTGAAGAAACAGGATATAAAAAAGGCAAAATGTATTGTTCCCAACTGTAAGTAGGTTATTCTAGTTGAGGAGATGGTATATCTACATATAATACTTACTTTCCAGATACACTAAATACCAAATGAGCCTAAAGACTGGAAAGGTCAGTTTCAGATTTGGACCTTCAGAGACATTTTTATGGAGGAGAAAGATCTTGAGTTGACCCCAGGAACCCAGGAACGAGCAGAGGCAGGAGTTGGAGTGCACATAGGATATTAAGAGACAGTAGATTTGACTGGAGTCGAAGTTTCATGCAGTAGAAAAATGGTAATAAATTGGGCACAGATATGAAAGAATTTGAACAAAAGGCCAAGCAATTCAAACTCAACTTTGAAGGCAGTAGGAGTCACTGAGAGTGTTTGGTATGAGTGAAGGTAGGAAAATGGGAAGAGACACGTACAAAACGCTAATTTAAGGTTGATTTATATAGTAGTGATCTTTGGAGTTGGGCAGTGGGACAGGTTTGAAGTTAGGCCCCTGCCCCTCATAAAGAGATGAGGACCTAGACTTGTTTGGTGGTGGTGGTGGTGTGGATAGAAAAGAAAGGATGACAACAAAAAATAAATAAAAAGGAGAAAAGGAAAAAGAATGAATCTGATGATACCTTAAATAGCATTGGCAGAGAGAGTAAATGTTACCTTAGGGTCTCCCAGAATTAGTTATAACAAAGCAAAAGCCTGTCATTCAGAAAGATGAATTACCCACCCAGGCGAGCCTGCAGTTCCCAGCCTATGCCACCCCAGAGAGCTGGGTCTTCAGCGGCTTGGTGAGTCTGGTGGGTCACCTATCTCTAGTGTGAAATGTCAGTGTGAATCAGGAAGTCATAGAACTAGAATCTGAATTCCAGCCTCGCCTTTGATTTATTTACTGTTTATTCCCTTTGTTCCACTTTTTTTTTATCACCAAGCGACATTCTGGTTATGACTTGGCTCTCCATCCGTGTCTGTCCACAGAGAGAGAATGTGCTGGCTTTTGCCCCAGGAGTGTTTCGGTCCATCTGACATTTATGGTTCTCGCTGTAAATTACTATGTTTGCATCTTGACATCACTCTTTTGTGCTCTGTGCTCTTTGAGTTGTAAGTCCACCTCTGAGATGTGATTTTGCTCCAGCTTTGCTGACAGATCAGGTTTCCAAGCCTGCAAGGCCATGGGCCAAATGTTAGAGGGTGGAAAATTCATCGAGGTAATGTCTCTGTGAGGCTGCTTGAGAAACAATCCAGTGACACCCAACCTCTTTGGGTGCTCCTTTCAGGGTTGAGGCTTTATATAGACTACAGAATGTATGTAGAATCATCTGGTAGAATATTTGTGCTTGTGATTTCATAAATTTGATTTCAGGGTTGCCATTAAGCATGCTTTTGTTTGTTTGTTTTTTGGTGAGTCTGTTGTTGACACTTGGAAATAGGATATGGGGTAAACGTGCACCACTAGTCAAATGGCAAAAGGACTTGTCATTCCAGAGAATAGTGTAACCTGGGTAGCAAAAGCAGCTAGAATTTTGTATGATGTAATATTCTTTCTCCATCGGTAAAATCCATCCCAGGTTTAAAAACAGCTTTAAGAATTTAACTTTACAGCAGATGCCAGCAAGTGCAGCAGTCATATCCATTATACCTGTTCCCAAGAAGCAACTTGTTTCATATGATTTTTGGTGCTACCATGTTGGTTGTCTATGAGATTAGTTGTGTTGGGAACATTTCTCAGAATCTCAGCAATGACACATTTCAAGCCAACCTGTAGAATGGCTTCTTTCATGCTGTTCATTGTATAAAGGTGTAAAAATACCTTGAAGATGTGAGAGTTTGGAGACACATTTTCTATACTTAGGTGGAAAAACACCACCTGAGAATAACTGGAATCAATGGAACTGCTCTTCTATCACAACAGACATGACATTATAATCAAAA